TTGTGATGATTTAATGAAACATATTGACGATTAAAAATTAAAACTCATCCATATAAATTTATTTTGTTTACATAAATAATTATAATAACAAAAGGAATATAAAAGAATTTTCAATAATACTTTGTCTATATTTTAATTATTTTTGCAAAGAAAATAATTTTATATAGATGGGTTTTAATTTAATCGTCAATATGTTTCATTAAATCATCACAACACTGTATATATATATTGGGAAAGGGTAGAAATGCATAATTATAATAATGTTGTTTCCTTATTTTGAATATAATCAATAAATACTTTATAATGTGGAAGGGGTTAAATATATTGTGAAAGGGAGTTCATGTATTATTATAATATAATAATATAGTTGTTTCCTTTGGGAAAGGGAATAAATGCATTATTATAATATTGTTATTTCCTTATTTTGGAATACAATCAATGAATACATTATAATGGGGAAGGTGCTAAATGAAATTATCTAAATGCTGAACATGGATTATTATTTTATTATAATGGTTATTATTTAGCGCAAATTTTTGCATCTTACATTCCTTTATTATAGTTTGTTAGTCATATTGTAGTTAAACATTTTTAAATATATTTATATAATAAAAAATTTTGTCTTACTCCCTGCCAACCATCACTAGAATAGTAAAATTAACAGGTAGGCATAAATGATAAAATCTTGGTTAATATTCAATAAAAAATGAAACGGCAATTTATTGGTTAGTAATTGAACATTTCATGACCAGGTTTATCATATATCTCTAATTTGATTGATATGCGCAATCACAACCTTATGGTATATCTTGATTTCCCACATGACAATACTGATCCTCCTTTTTACCAGAGTTAACTAAAGTTAAATCACAGTCATTGTTCTCTTAAAACTCCATTTCTATCTCAATTCCCTATCGAATAATCTTGCTGCAGGTGACATTTTTGTTACCGAATGTGTCGCAAAGTGATAGTTTAATAATACATATGCTAACATAATCTCATCCCAACTCCCCTAATTTATAAATCATATTATTTGCTGGGCGAAAAGCTCTTTCAGCCATCCTATTAGAAGGTGGGTGGTATGCAGGAGTAAAATATTTGTATAATACCCTTTTGTTTAAAATTTTTTTTTTAAATCATAAGAACTAAATGCTGGTCCATTATCTGATACCAATTCTACAGGGTAACCGAATCTAGAAAACACATTATTTAATACAATTATAGTGTTAATGCTATTAATGTTTTTAACCTTGATAATTCCCAGCCATCGAGGGTACCCATCAATAATTATCAGCCCGTAAAAATTCTTAATAGGTCCAAAAAATCAATGTAAATTCGATACCAGGGCTTATTTGGTTGCACCCAGTTGATTTTGCCTAACTCTTGGTAATGTAGGAGCATTTATCATACACTTATTACACCTAAACACCATTTCGTTAATATCTCTTAACTCCTGGCCACCAAAAATATTTTTTCATATTATGAATCATCTTAAAAACCCCAATATGCCCTTCATAAAGATCATTGAGCATATTTTTCCTTAGTCTTTGAGGAATAATAATCTGTCTCTCTTTAAATATACAATCATTTTTAATATTCAAAAACATTAACATATATCTTATATATTCTTTAATTTGTGAATAATTGCCACCTTTATTCAAAACATATTGTTTAACTTTGACAAGCTCAGTCTACCAATGCATCTCTTTTTATTATAACTAGATCATTAATAATTTTTTAATCATTATTATCTTTATCAACATTAAAAAAAACAAACGACATCTTCATTGATTAATCTAGATAACTGATCAGGAATTATCTGATCTTTCCCCTTCCTATAATTAATATTAAAATCATACCTAGCTAAACACAAAGCTCATTTTTGTAATCTTGGTGACACATTATAAAGTTTCACCGGATATGCCCCAAATAAATTAACCAGAGGTTTATGATCTGTATAAATCTCAAACATCCTACTTAAATATTCTATCCATTTTTTTAACAGCCAAAATAACCGCGAATCCTTCTTAATAATCGAATATTTATATTAGCACCTGACAATACTTTGGACATGAATTCAAGAAACCTCTATGATTATCTTCTTCCACATGGAACATAACTGCTCCCATACCCTTATTCGAAGCATCAGTCGAAATAAACAACTTCTTACTTCTATCATAATGTGTTTAAAAATAGGGCGCATTACACAATCTTTTTCTAATCTCACAAAATCTTGCTTCTTTCATTAATACCCCAATAGAAATATTTCCCCTTCTTAAGCAAATAATAAAAATTAGATGCCAATTTCGAAAAAACCTTCGATAAACCTGGAACAATAATTCATGAGTCCCATTCATGTCAGAATATTCATCCATAGTTTTTTTTGGAAATATGCAGTGGAAACTCTCAGCCAAAAAGATAACTTATTAAATTAAAACAGATCTTCGTGGGTTGACAGGGTAAGAAACTTTGAAGTTTCTTTAGGGACAGGTATTTGTAAATAGGCTGAAGAAAAATCTATTATCGAAAATATCTTACCATATCGAGCCTTAGCTATTTTGTCACTAGTACTTGGCAAAGGATATTCAAACCTTTCTATCCGAGGATTTACAGTGACTCTAAAGTCAACACTAACCAATATTAATAGTGTAGCCCATTGAGAAAATTTGACAGGGATTATTATGCCCTGTTTACGCCATTGCTCCAGCGTGCTTTCTAACTCTCTTCTAATTCAAAAGATATACTCTCCTGGCCTTAAAAAATATTGGTTTATAATCATCCTTTAACAAAATATTTATTTTTAAATCTTTAACCTTGCTTATTTTACTATTAAAAACACAATCAAATTTTTTAATTTCCGTGTATATTGACGGAATCAAAATATATCCGTTATAAATATTATCTTTATTTTTACAGAGATTGTTAAAAGTTAAAAAATTTAACTTATCTCCTCTCTTTTGCCTATTAATAGTATTTATCTCTTGATGGGCAAAGTTGTCACAGGATCATAAATAAAAAATTAAGATTATTTAATTGCATATCAATAATAAAATCATATATAAAATTGATCTTATTTCGTGGTCTTAGATTATAAGGTATCTGAATTATCTCTTGTTTTTTGAAGTTGCTGTTATTGTCGATCCCCTTATAAGTATAATTTCCTTTCATGCCTTATTGTCTCCATTTCGCTCCATCATCTCTTCTCCATGGATCTAAGTTTTTCATTAAGTTAATCAAATTGTACCGAAATCAATTCGGTATTCAGTCCCGAACCACAGCCTTTAAGTCGATCCAAATATTCTCTGGAAGACTCCATTCTATCAGGTTTGGCATTAAACAATTCTAAGATTCTCATATATCTGTGTATCCTTTTTTTGAATTAAATCTCTCATTTTCCGATACGATAAATTTTCCAAATTATCAATGCTAACCGCCATCTCTTTATCAATCATTTCGAACAGTCTTTATTTTTTTTATGGCTTCATCGAAAATATTTTTCGTTAAGAACTTCAAGTCGAAGGTTATTAATAGAACTTTGACTTTGACATAATTACTATCTTCCACCATATAGGGATTAGCTTGGTTGGCGTCAGCGTCTACATGACAGTATATTCACTGGATGCAAACCCCCCTCAAAAATATATATCTACCCCCCTAATATACCAAAATATTATCCAGGAAAATTTTCTAGATTATTATAGCCTACCCCCCAAAATGCCTTCCCCGCTACCCGCTACCCCCTACCACCTACCCCCTACCCCTTTATAGATATTAGGATGCAAATTGTTCCTACCCCCCTCCCGCTCATGTAGACTCTGCTTGGCGTAGTATCGATTGGGAACGATGAGAATAGACAAGAACGAATTTGATATGGTATTGATTGATAATCGAATAATTAAGGTTAATATTTAAAAGCAATTTCATTCAAGTTTTATCATCGCAATATTATTATTGTATAAATTCAGAAAGTCAAATATATACTTATTAAAATCAATTGAACATGATATAATCTGATATTAAAATTGACGCCTCAGAATATATAAATTTAAATTCCTATAACTAAAAAATAAACATTTTGATATGATTTAAACAAACATGTAATTAAAATATAAACATTTAAGTATTATATTACAAACATGTAACTACTATCCCAACGAAGGATTTTACTTTCGTCAGCTCTCTCAATATCTGCCGGTTCAACTGAAACTTCCTCTCATAGGCGTGGCCGATGGGGTGGGTGGGGCGCAAGGGGAAATTTGCTCTCTTGCCTGTTCTCCTAATTATTATTTTTTAAGCAAATATAAATTTCCCCCTACACATGGATATCACTCCAATTAATAGGGGATATAACAAAAACTCTTACCTAAGCATTTTCAGTTTACATTGGCATTTGCTGTTTTCCCAGGCATTCATAATTTACTCAAACCTTAATATAATTTTTAATTAATAAAAAAACTGATAATATAGAAAAGTGTTTACTTGTGCTTAATATATCAATTGCCAAAACAGATTTAAACAGAGTTACACGGATGAACAGATGGGGTCTATGTTACCCCAATCTCCAAAAAAAAACCTTTATAACTTTTGGACTGCTGAAAAAAAAATCAAAATTAATTTTACTCACATATACTTTATCTAAAAATCTTAAGCTGCTAAAAGATTTAGGCAAAAATATCGATAGAATTTTAAGTAATAAAGTTTTTTTAAATGAATGGGATCTGCATAGTTTCACCTGAGCAATTAAGCATTAATATATGATTTAACAATAAAATACATCATGTAATTAAAAGTTATTATACTATAATTTTTAAAAAGATTAGTTAACAAGTTTATAATCGAATTTAAAACAAATTTTTATTATAATCTAAAATAATTTTATCATCAAATTTAAAGTCCATTTGTTATAAAGTTTAAAAAAAATAATAATTTAATAATAAATTTCTTCAATTAAAAATATCTTTCCAGATCAATTTTTTTTTTAATATTAAGAATGCCAATCCTTATTTCAATAATAATTTAACAATCCTCTTAACAATTTCTATAACATAGTCGGGTATTCTGTATGGAAAAAAAACAAGACGGTACACTTAACTTAAAATACATTAAACTGGGAAAGAATGGGATATTATTTGTTTAGAATTAGGTTCTATTTAATTGCCATTTGTCTATTATGGCTCGCATTATCCCCAGTCTCCCTTAAATACGAAGATATTATTTTCATATCTAATCTTTGTTAGGATATCTATGAATTTTTACAACCGAATTTAGCAATATATTATCAATGTGCGTGTCCAAGACCCATTACCAAAAAATTAATAATCAATTTTAAAAATGACAGAAATTTACAAATTTGGCCAGAAAACTCTGGGCTAATTTCAATGAGATGTGATGGGATATTAAATATTGATTGTTATAATTCGTATATTAATCTTTTAAAAAAAATTATTTTCATTTAAAAAGTATATAAATTGAAATATCATAAAAATTTACTAATTATAAAAAGTAATTCATTGAATGACAAAATAAGGTTAATTCTTAAAATTATCACAAAATAAAATGTTAAAAAAATTAACTAATTAAAAAATTCAACAAATTTTTTTTGGAGCCATAATTGCAAAATAATTTTATAACATATATATATAAAATAAAATTTTTAAAATGGGAGCAAATACACTCCCTTTTCATTTTTCCCGCATATTCCTCCTCATGCTTATGTGCCAAACTTGGATATTATCTCAAGGTAACCGTAATGCCAATCTTATTCAATCTTTCACATTTTTCTTCTTTCTAAATAACTAATAGACTATATACACGTTATCAAGATGGAGATTAATAGGCACTGAGCTTATTATTTTCTAAACCTCTTACGACTCGATATATATATGTTAAAGTCAAATCGCGCTTAGAAAAATCACCAAATATCTTATAAATTGTCCAAAATTCTTAGGATAAAATATGGTAAAATTAGTTCCTTTTCTTAAAATCGAAATCCTCTATTTAAGAGTCGTTTGTTATTTGAGAGGAGAAGGAGGGGTGAGGGGGTTAAAATATTATTCACATCCGGGGGTCACCAAATCTATAATGAATTATTAAAAAAATATGTATTCTTTTATCTAAAAATTTTGATTTTACATTTTAAATTAATGAAAAGCAAAAGATATGCATATAAAATAAACCTTAGCTCTAAAAATCGAATTGCCTTTGATATTTAAATAGAATTTATTAAGGAAAAATGATATTGGTGTAACCGTTTTTCTTATATAATCTTAATATAGATTATGTATAAAGACTAAAAATAAAATTGAACATTTCATTAGTTTGAATTAAAAACAATTGTAAATATTTATTCTGTAATTTTGGCTAAAAACTTAAATATATACCCTTAAAATTTAATTATATGGAAAAAAGCTATCTTTTTAATATATTTGTTTTTATTCTACGAAAAAAAGATTTAATGCCGTTTACCCATCTCTCGCTCTAAGAGATCAGCATTGAGGACAGAGTTACTAGCACCTTAGTCGTTAAGAAATGGGGAAATGATCTAATAAGAAGAGGGTGGTCAACGTTGATTGTTATGAAGAAACCTAATCGGAATATCGGGAACTTAAAATTTTACTCCTTAGTCTTCAGGAGCCCAGCGGTGGCTGATACATCGGTTAGATATATTTTGTTAAGATTGTATCTTCACTTTTTTCTTTCCAGGAAAATTGGCGTGTTAGCTGAGAGGTAAACTAAAACTATAGAGCCAAAGTTTAATTGATATTTTGGGGTTCTAAATATCTGCTATAAATATCTCCTTTACATAAAGAGGGTGGGGGGGGATTACTTCTAATATTAAGTTAGTTTCGGCAAAATAATATAATGAATAGACCTTATGTTTCTGACCTCAGCACATGCCAGATCTAGTTAAAACACACATGTAGGCTAGTAAAAGAAATTAAAAAATTATTTGTGTCATATATTATAATAGTTCGTTGATGTTTAAAATAAAATTATCAACGGTGAATTTTTAAAACATTAACATCGTTCTTAATCAATTACTGTCTCCCTCAGTTTTATCAAGTTATACAGAGTCGATATGGAATCTATAATTAGGGTCAATTCGATGAAATTATATTATTAGATTTTAATTATAACCTTTTTTTTTCTGTTGTAAGTTTTTAATACCTTTTATTTTTATATTTACAAACATATTTTTCCAAAAAAAGGCTATAGTCAAGGACCCAGGCGTTTTCACATTTTCCTTTCAATTTCCGTCCAAATGACCAAATGATACAGTTAGTTGAAAAAAATATGAGCGGTTCTTATATTACAGATTATCGATAATATAAATCTTATTTCAAAAAAATCAAATATATAATAATCATTTGAAAATTTACAAAGGAATTAATATAATAAAAAAATTATATATAAAAGTGTAAAAATAAGCCTTATTTTCTTGATGCTCAATCAAATTTTTACACATCGAAAATCTAAATTTCAGCATTAAATTAGAACCCTAGAACTCATACAAGTCCGATCAAGTAACTAAATTAAATTTCTTGATATTGCAGTTGGCATGATAGTGTTTGAAGGCCGTATAATAATCTAAGTGGGGGGAAATATGTATATCAAGAACAAATATATGTTGGGGGTGTTTCACTTATATAAACTCCGGTATGAGCGCTTATTGGCGCTCCTTAGAAGAAAAAGCTATGGAGTAAATGTCTTAGGGGATATGTCTCTAGGCAAATTACCGTGCACCCTAATATTACTTCTGTATTTTCGATGGCATAAGATGTGTGGTTAGTCTTTGCTACAAGATCGGCCAGTGTGAGACCGATTGTCCAAAGAATAAGAGATTTACAACCCGGAATTAGTTTCATTTGAAGGACCAACTGGACCAAAAATAAATGGGATATTAACGTTTGTTGGCTAGTAGAATGTTGTTAATGGATTTATGGAGGGGATGACGTCTGCGAGAGTATTAGCAGTGCAAGAGATGGTAGGCATTTGATTCAATAGGCTTATCATAATTTCCGAGTGTAAAACACTGAATTAGGATAAAGGCTAAGGGGTGAATATGCGTAGTTATTTGCCAGTCATGAGGAGGACAAGATTGGAACTACGAATGGCTCCCAACCATTCATAGCCAGAGTTTGCATTTAATACTATATAATCTTAGTTTTCCTCAAATCGTATGTTTGAAATGAGGCATTCGGCGGAGCGGGCGATCAAAGAAGTATCCCAGTTTTTTTCTATGTTAAAGGCTGAACGGCAGGGGAGGGACAAGATGTTGCCGTTCCAATAGGTAAGAGCCTAAGATAAGTCAGGTTCTGCTATAATTTAAAAATAACCTTTTTGAAATAGGAATAAATTTCCATTATTTTTTTAAAAATATTTTTTTTATTTAGGTAAGGGGGAACCTTCTCTTCTGTAAATATGCCCTGATGTATATAATTATATATATATATAATTTAAGCTTTACTTATTTTGTTTATGTGATGTTATTTATCTATCTTGATGTAAGTTGTAGATTTTTAAGTTGAATTATCTTGTACTGTAAATTTTACCGATGTTTTTTTTAATACGAGAGCGGGAAAGAAAGAATAAATAGATTAAGACAAGCCAAAAATCTCATATTGCCTGAAATGCATGCCGTCATGTTTTAAATACTCTATGAATTTCAGAAAATTTTTCTATGAACTTTTAAACTAAATATAATTTATATTAAATTTTCCATATATTTTTTATACAAATTATAAATGACTCAAAGGTTAACAGCAAAATTGTCTGCAATTCATAAGTACCGCGCTCAAAAAATGATTTATGCCGGAAAAAACACATTGATACTAACTATATGGCCCTTAAAATGACCTTTGGATAAATTAAATCTGAAATAAATCAGTGCCTATTGATTAATTTTTTTAAAGGAACTATAATATCTAGACCTTTTAGATTAACATAGTGTTTTTAGATCCTTTAGGTTGAATTAATGTTAATCCACCACATGTCGAGGTAATTTTTTTTTGTTTATTTATACTATGTGATTTAAGCACATTTAATAATCATATGGTCCCTACATGACAAATCTTTGTCACGTCTTATTTTTTTTGTTAAATAATAATTACCCACACCAAGAAGTGCTCTTTCAAAATCTTTTCCCTGAGCTAAACTTAATTCATAAATTTTATTAACCATCGTATGTATACAGATGTAGTAGAATCTCTGTTAAATTTAACATATTATTTAACTATTCACAGTTATTGTTTATAAAGAGATAAGATATTACCTTATTTTTTAAAGATAATTATACATATAAAAATAAATTATTCTTTAAACCGGTATCTATATGTTTCAATAATTTATTAAATTGTTTGTCTCTACAATATTCGTGCCGATTTTCAATCTTGTCTTTAAAGATTTTATTATTTAACGAAAAGACAAGTTCTTCTTTGCCAAAATTCTAGTTACAATATTTTCCCTTGTCCTTGAATCTATTCCCTCTTTATTCTGTAAAAATATGTTTAGATTCTTTTTCATATGATAAGTACGTAATATCTATGTGTAGAATTATTAAAATAATTCCTTAACGAAGTTATTAGGCCTAGCTCCTCAGCACTGCCTAATATAAGATTTTCAGCATTTTTTTTTGAATATGACTTCCAAGTGGGAAAAGAAAATGTTCAAAGTTTCATAATCAGAGATGCCATGCAAAAATATAAGACTAAAGAATATAGAATTATTCTGTGAATATTTAGACATGAGCACTTGATTCTTAAAACTGATTTCGTCATAAACAAGGAACCTAAATTATAAGTTTTATCAACACCTATAATACTCTGAAAATTGAGAACAAATATATCTAATACTTACTAACATTAAGCTAATATATAATATTAGTGAAGATACTCTGTCTGGGCTTATGTCTATTTTTTTAAATATTGGATATTTATGAATATTTTTTGTAATTCATTAATCTGGTCAGAATAAATTTGCAAATAACCATAATTATTTTTATGTTCGTTAAATCGTATATTTTGTTTGATATCCCTGGGAGTAAAATAATTTTCTTCATTGGCTATTAAATCTTGGTAGACGTCTTTTGGAGGCTGATGCACTACCTTTTCCTTAATTTGTCGCATTATACAACTTGGGTACGACTATTAACTCCTTAGTAGTTTATGTTGTTCATGTGGAAACAACCCTGGATATCTTCCTATGTATTCAAATATAAATGTAGATTGAATAAGATGAACTAAGCTGTTTAAATATTTATCTAAATAGCATATTTTTTTTTATACGTTTCACAATTTTTCAATTTTGTATAATAAATATTTAAAATTACAAATTTATATTGTTTTGTTGTGGACTTGCCAAATAAGCCATCCTTAATAACCATAGGTCCAAGTGTAATATCATTGGTATTTATACTATAGTAATTTTTTGTTGTAACTGATGCACCAGTCCACGCTGCACAGTTGTAATTTTTTACCTTTTTCTTTCAGACATATTGTCTGTATTACTTATGGTAAATATAGCATTGTTATACCCGTTTATATTGATTCTAGAATATTTATGGGTTTCAAAAACATATACATTTTATTTTCAGTATCTAGAAACTTGCTGGTGGAAAAATTGTAAGTTACTTCTAACAAATGATGATAAAGCAGTAATAGTTGGAGAATTATTGTTAACTGAGATGGAAATATGAATGGTAGCTGGCGTCAAAACGGGTGATAAATAAGCGATACTAAATGGGGAATTGATTAGAGGTTGAAATATATGTAGAGACCTATTGTCTGCTGATGATCAAATTGGTGATAAATAACTAATACTAGATAGGGATTTGATTGAAGGTGAGATAGGTGGATCATTGTTAACTGAAATTGAAGAATCGAATAGTAAATCATCATTAATAGATAAAATGTTAGTAAATAACTAATAATTGGTGGATATTCGAATGGTGGAAAAATATGTTGGGAATTATTCTAATGTAAATATGAATAGTTAATCCTTAATTCTAGGTGACAAATGACTATTGGAGGAACTGAAATAATTTGGTTTAATATATTACAATTTATCAGGGTAATTTAAGCTCGCACATAAAAACTAAGTAAATTGAACAAGTTCTGCCTACGTGTCATGCCAATATACTGGGTATAGATCTATACATTTCACGATTAAATAGCGAGAAGTATGATTGAAATGCTTTTTCCAAAGCTGCACTTGATGCATAAAGATGCATCATTTGTGCCCAGCATCATACCATTAATGAAAATTTTGTAATTAATCATCACTTATTGTCTTATTGTTTATGAAAAATTCATCATCTAAATTATAACGCTTTGATTAATAGTTATTTCTATTACTGTCAGGACTCTCATGTAGAGATGTACCTCATCAGGACCAAAAATTGCCAGAGACAAGCAACGATAATTGCCATCTCCAATAACTTTTCTAGGCGAATAATCTTCTAAAAAATTACCCTGAAATGATTTTAATAACCTCTGTGAAATAAGGTCTTCCTCTTCAACTACAAAATTATTATTATATTTAGGTAAAATATTATAATGTAATCTAATAAAGCTAAATTTACTTAATGCTCAATTAACTGAAGTATTTTTCTGTAATCTTAGCAATGAAGAGCATGGCTTCACATCTATCTTTTCCATTATTGCCTTTTTAATTTTAATTAATGAAATTTTATTATTAATTAAAATTTAATGTATATATCAGGCCTTTCTGGGCATAAAAATACATCTCAACCAAAATTACATTGTTAACACTTTATTTTTATATTTTTATTAGTTTTACAGAGCTATACATATGCTCCCCACCTTGATTATTATATGGCTTTCAAACGCTACTATGCCAAGTGGAATATCATTAAATTTAAATTAGTGACTTGATCGGAATTATATGAGTTCGAGGGACCTAATTTAATACAGAAGATCAGTTTTTTGATGTGTAAAATATTTGGCTTAGAACATCAAGAAAATAATGCTTAATTTTTCATATATACTGTATTCTTTACACTTTAATATAATTTTTTTATACATATTAATTCCTTTGTAAATTTTCATAATAAGAATTATTATATATTTGATTTTTTGAAAGAATAACATTTATATTATCGATAATCTGTAATATAAGAACCGCTCATATTAAATTCAACTAATTATATCATTTGGTCATTTGGACGGAAATTGAAAGGAAAATGTGAAAACGCCTGGGTCCTTGACTATAGCCTTTTTTTGGAAAAATATGTTTGTAAATATAAAAATAAAAGGTATTAAAAAATTACAACAGAAAAAAAAGAAGGTTATAATTAAAATCTAATAATATAATTTCATAGCAAATTGACCCTAATTATAGGTACCATATCGACTCTGTATAACTTGATAAAACTATAAAAGAAAACATTAATTGATTAAGAACGATGTTAAATGTTTTAAAAATTAACTGTTGATAATCTCATCAACGAACTTTTATAATATATGATGATACAAATAATTTAATTTTTTTTTGTTAGCCTACATTTGTGTTTTAACGAGTTCGGCATGTTCTGAGGTCAGAAACGTAAGGTCTATTCATCATATTTTTTTGCGGAAGCTAACTTACTTTAGACGTAATCCACCTAGCAGTTTCAGAAGCCCCAAATTCTCAATTAAGTTTCAGCCCAATAGTTTCAGTTTACCACTCAGCTAACAAGCCATTTCTCCTGGGAAAAAAGAGAAAGTATATTCTTAAAAAATATATCTTATTTTACCGTCAAATTTATAACCGAAGTATCAACCAATGCTGGGCTTTTGTAGACTAAGGAGTAAAATTTTATGTTGCCAATATTCCGAGGTTTCTTCCTAAGAATCAACAATGTCCCGTTTCTTATTAGATTCTACTTTTCCCCTGACTCCTTAACGTTTTGCCAATCCCAATTCTGACCTCTTAGGCGAGGCGAGTTAACGGCATTAAATATTTTTAGGTAGAATAAAAAAACAAATATATTAAAAACATAGTTTTTTTTTCATATATTAAATTTATAGGTATATAGAAGGTTTTGGCCAAAATTACAGAATGAATATTTACCAGGAATGTGAATCCGGACTAGTGTTGTTAAACGGCTCATTTTGAGCCGATTTTTAAAAACGGCTAACTCAATATTTCACCCAAAATAATACGCAAGCCTGAAGATTTTGCTTGTAGAAGGAACAAAGGTTTGGACATCTATCAACGAAATCTCAGGGTTTAGGCAACATTTTTCTGGCTAAAATATTGAGTTTATCGTTTTTAAAAATCGTCTCAAAACGAATCGTTACAACATTAATCCGGACCCTGAACCCTCGTATTTTTGCTGTACCCAAACCAGAACCGAAGGCATATTTAAAAAAAAAAAATTTTTTTAAGCTATTTTTTAAAAATTTTATTAACCTTATTTCGTGGAATCATTTTTTAATTTCTTTCAATTTTCATTCCTGGATTTCCGTTTTATTTGGAGAGTGAAATATCATAAATTATTTTCTAGTGTAGGTAATAATATTTTATTATGTAAATTTATTAATATGCTATTTAATAGAAATACTTTGATTATTTTGATTGTAAATTATTTTGTAGAGCAAGTAATAATATTTTAATTTTAAAGTATATTAATATGCTCTTATAGAAACACCTTGTTTATTTGTTTTATAACAATTTCTTTAAGTGATTATTTTGTAGTGTAAAAATATATTTTATCAGGGCATGATTTTTTGGGCAGTAAATTTAAATTAATCAAAATTGGAGTGTTTTGCAGATATAACCTTTTATTATAAGTTGTCAAATTTATTCTAATCATAAAATTAGTTATTTTATTTTTAAATTACAAATCTAAGTTTTTTTTAAAAAAAATTTATTAAACAAACTTGTTAGCTAATTGTAAATTTTGTTTATTTATTTTTTATTATGAAAATAAAAGATATTTTGTTAGAGTATTATAATGTAATTAAAGAGGATTCAGAGTGCAAAACCTGCCACATAATAATAAAAGGTTCACACAATACTAACCTGGAGAAACATTTAGGAAGACATCATTCTATAATCTTTGAGGAATACCTAAATAGAAAAATCTAATTTTTGTAAGAAGACACTGTTAAAAAGTATACTGTCAGTACTGTAAAGAAGGATGAAAATAATATTGAAATTTTTTGTTTTAAAAAAAGCATTCATATTGTAATCTGATTTGATGGATGCTTTAGTTGAGTTAAATAAAATATATGAAAAACCTTTCAATATTATTAAGGATTTTGGTTTAAAAAATTATTAATACTATTAGTAAGGCAATTGGAATATCAAATAACCGTTTTAAAATTATAGACCTAATAGTTAATGAATCGAAAAAAAATATTAAAAGAAACTAACAATAAATTAATTTCATTAAAAATTGATTCCGTCAAAAGATTAGGGAGAAATATTCTAGGAATAAATATACAGTATATAAAAGGATATAATATAATATTGAGAAATTTAGCTATGAAGAAGATTAAAGTTAGTGCAATTTCTGAATATATAAAAAGAATGATATTAGAAACATTAAATAAATTTGATATTCCTATAAGAAATGTTTATACAATTACTATGTATAATGGTGCTAGTAAAATCAATTAAATTATTAAATGAATGTTCTGGAAGAGAAGGATGATATAGACGATGATGATAATTATGAAGAAATCAATTGATTGACAGGAAATAATAGAAGATTTCTCCACGAATATATATTGCATATGTGCAGCCCATACTCTACAATTGGCTATTAATGATTGCATAATTATTATTTACTTTAAAACTATTAAAGCAAGGGATGTACAAAATATTTAAGAACTCTCACAATTGCAAGAATATTAAAATCAATGAAAAAGTCAGTGGCGATATTAGATAGTGCAACACGTTGGCCCTCAATTTGTATGATTTTAGAACGATTATTATTTTGAAAGATTTCGGTACTGATTTTATTATAGAAGGATGTGAATTCTTTTTGTTGGAAGATGATTGGTGCCAAATAAAGGACCTTACTAGTGTAATAGTTCCTTTAAAAACAACAATTTTAAGATTACAATCAGAGCAATTATGTTTATCTATTTTTTATGGCATGTGAATTAGATGCCCATTAGATTTAGAAAGATTTAGTAGTCCTTTTTCATAAGAAATATTATAAAACATGAACATTCGAGAGCAAAAATATTTGCAAAATAGTATTGCATATACGCTTCTATATATTTAGATCCTTCGATATTTTTTATTGAGTATTGACCAAAGGCTAGTGACCATCTAAAGGATTACGCAAAACCAATACCAACTTGTTGTAGTGATAATAATGATAATGATAGCGACATTGATGATCATGAATTTTTACTTTTAGATAGAGAAAAAAAAATTAAAATTATCAGCAGATAGAAAGGAGGGGAACAATAAACACCTATTACATCTTTCATAGAAAAGTTCTTAAAAGTTAAGAATAAAAAAAGGATACAAATATTTAAAAATTCTGAAAAGAAATAACTTCAATATATCCAGAATTATATATCTTGTCTAGAATCGTCATGGCTGTACCGGCGATACAATTACAATAATTTATGTATTATAAAGGTAACTATCTATTTTAGATCGCGTAAAACGTGAACTTTCTTCTTTAAAATATATATTGTCTTATTACGTGGAAATCTCAAGGATGATATTTATTTTAGAGGATACTATGATTGTGCGATTAAATAAAACATTTTAAATATAAATTATTTTTTTTATTTGTAAATTATGAATGAGTATATAATATTGAAGTAATATTAATAAATAAATGGGTTATGTAAACAAAACAGTTACAAAAATATCTTCATTTTTTTTCCCCTATAAATTTTGACAATTAGGAAGGCTTAATTTACATTATAATAAATTCTATTAAATATCAAAGGTAATTCGAATTTTTCAGAGCTGAGATTTATATATACATATCTTTTAACTTTCATTAATTTAAAATTTTTAAATATCAAATTTTTAGGTTAAAATTTTTGTTTCCAAAATCATATAATTTGGTGACCCCTGATTACGCGACATTAAGTCACATTTTGAAAATATTATTTAATTATAATATTAAAAACCCCCTTCCCTCCCAAATAAAAAACGACCCTTGAATAAAAGATTTCGATTTTTAAAAAATTTTTTTACCTAGTTTTATTAATATTTTTATATTGAATAAATTTTTAGATCAATTTTGATTGTGAACCATCATGTAAAAGCCATTCTAAACTTAAATTTATAGAAATTTAATTGGTGGATTATAATAAATGGTAATTAGTTCTAAAATATATTTTTCATTTCTGCAGATAAAATATTTTTATTGTTGATGTAAATTCAGTAAATTACTATTTTTTAACTCTGCAAAAAATTAAAACCTAACATAAAATCATTGTTCATAGCCATTTTACCCTAAGAATGTATCATTTCAAACTAGTGAAGTATCATTTCTAACTAAATGTATGTCATGGTCCGGACTTTATTACTAATTTTTCTAAGACCTCAAGCCCTAGAGTTAAATGGTACGCTTTCAGTTTTAAATGATACTCTAAGAGTTACGATGCTATATATATTTTTTTAAATAAACGCTTTTTAAAGTTTAACAAAAATTATTAGCTTGTTATACAAATAGGGGATAATAAAAAATAGATGCAATACAAATTAAAGGTACATCATGAGTTCTAAAAGTAACAATTGAGAGTAATGTAATTAAAAACCTAGATTTAACAATTTAAATCCATTATTAGCTCAAAAAAAATTATTTTAATCTCGAGTAGTGCCAAACATTTCTGACATCTATTGGCGAAGTCTTTGAGGCTTAGTTAATATTATGATCAAAAAACCTCTTTATTTTCCTAGTTTTTAAAAAACAGGCTAAATTGAAGTTATCTGAATAATAAACTGACAAGATGGTACCTCTTATAATGGTATAAATATATGCCGCATCGATTATTCAGTTGATGCTTATTTTATATATATTAATAATAGTTTATATAAATTTTTTTGCCTTGCTCATTTAATTTAAAAGAAAAAAATTTTTTTTTTAAATTTATTGGTTGATTTTATGATAGAGAAATCATTCGGGAATATTCTTTGAACTTATATGAAACATAACATGAAAGGAAATAATTTGAAAAACATAATTCATTGAGTTGCTTTAATAACTGGACCATGATAGTTTAAACATTGTAATAAAATGAAATATCTTATGAAATTATTGGTATATATATATTTGTCCCCTCTCATTTGTCATATTTTTTATTATTGGTGGAAAAATTAAACTAAACCACTTTAATATTAATATTATTTTAAAAAATTTGGCCCAGGTTTAAAAGTTGGAAGTAAATGTAGAAGAGAGGCTCACAAATATAAAATAAAATAAAAGTGTGATTATTGAAGACTTAATGGGCCTAAACCTACCAGTGACAGATAGGAACAGGGGGCAGAAAAATATCTAACCACGAGCGCTAACAGGATATGATCTATTATATTATCACAAATATATATTTTTTTAAACTTCTTTGAAGTGTGAACGCTTTTTGTATCTTGTCATCTTGTTGGTTCCATTTTCCGCGAGGAATTATTGATCCCTCTATGACGCAAAACTGACCATAGGCTTATATAAGTAAAGAATTAAACATGATAATATATATAAGATAGAATTCAAAGTTTTATTAGTTGGTTAGAAAAAAGAAATACTTGTGGACCCCCCCCTCTCCTTTAATATAAAAAATGTTTGTCAAATACTCAAATTTAATTAAGGCTACTAGCAGGGTACGTTTTCGTTCTTCCGCGTCGATGATTACGCTTCGTAGTATAATTTGCGGTATATTAGCTTTTAAACCCTAATTTAGGGGGCAATAAATAATCTCAAGTTCATCTATTTTGATAACCTAAACTATCGGATCTAAAAGACTGACCAAACATTGGGCTTGTTTTATAAATATTTTATTTGATACAAACAGTTTTTTTTTAATTTAAAAAAAATCCAAACGATTAATGAAAAACCGGAAATGAGGACGGGTTTTTATAAAAAAAAAATCCATTTAAATATGTTATTTAATGAAATCCGGTTTTTTTTAATTTTAAAAGAAATACAGACGATTAATTAAAAACCAAAAATGAGGACTGATTTTTTTAAATTTTTAAAAAAAATTCCAAAGATTAATGAAAAACCGGAAATGAGGACGGGTTTTTATAAAAAAAAATCCAGTTAAATATGTTATTTAATAAAATCCGGTTTTATTTAATTTTACAAATACAGACGATTAATTAAAAACCAAAAATGGGACTGATTTTTTAAAATTTTTAAAAATAAATTCCAAACGATTAATGAAAAACCGGAAATGAGGACGGGTTATTATAAAAAAAATATCCAGTTACGATTAATTAAAAACAGAAAATGAGTACTGGTTTTTAAAAAAAAAAAATTTCTAAATGATTAATGAAAAATCGGAAATGAAGACGAGTTTTTATAAAAAAAATATCCAGTTAAAT